TTCCTTTTAACTCCCCCTGTTTAGAACCTCTTGCGTACAAGGCCGCCCACGTGGATGTAGGTTGAGCGGCGGCTGCCCCCACCCCCGTGTGTCATATCGACCCACTTGCACACAGCCAAAAGGCAAAGAGGCAAAGAAAAGAGGCAAAGAAAAGAGGAAGGGAACAACCAAATACAACAAAGCAGGGGGAAGCAAACATAAACCAATCCTAGATGACAAGTCTAACATGCAAGCACTGCCCCTACCACCAGGGCCAAACAACGGGACAAGACCAACCAGGATTCAAGAACACCCTTGCCTGCAAACAAACAATCCCAGATAACATACCTTTTGTGCGCGCCAGCTCCAAGAATCCTTTGCGATTGATTTTATTGTTGTTGTTGCAAAAATTAGTACAGATTCAAACTGTCAAGCCACCGCTTCGCTGGTCTAAACTAAATTACTGGGACAACACCAACATCAAAAAAACATAAAAGACAATCCTAGATGTCGATTCCCACAAAAAAAACACCGCCCCCGCACAGGCCAAACAACGGGAAGCAACCACCTAGAATGCCAAAAAAGGAAAAAACCCGGCGGACAAGTCCCACATGAAATCACCGCTATGGGCCTAGTACCGTAAGCCGAACGACGGAACTAAACCAACCGGGGTGCAAACAAGGGTGCCAAAATCACCAACAAAACAAATTCTACCATATCCATAGTATAGTAAAACAACTCCCATCCACAGTGTGACAACCTAAAAAGAGAGAAGACAATCTCGGATGAAGATTCCCTCATACAAGCACCGCCCCTCCGCTTAAAAGGCCGAACAATGGGAAACCACGAACCAGGATGCCAAAACCCCGAATGACTGGTCCCACGTGAAAGCACCGCTACACCCATGAAATAACCCGAACAACGGGACCAAACCAACCGGGAAACAGACAAGATCAGCAAAACAAATTCTACCATAACCATATCCATAGTAAAAAAACGGAGCCATAGAGTTGGCCCGCAAAACGGAATACCCCAGCAATAAGGAAATGGTAAAGGATAAGAAGCAGAGAAGAGGAATGACAGGAACAAATGTAGAAAATTTTTCTACCATAACAAAAGCATAGACTGCTAGTACAGGCCCGACGCTCGCCGCATCATCTGCAAAAGCAGAGAGCTAGCAACGTCGGAGTATATATTGTCACAAAATATCAGAGCGCAAATGCAAAAAAAAGGAAAGAAGGAAAGAAAAAAAGGAGAAAAGAAAAGTGAATTCAATTTTTATCTTCTTCCTTTTAACTCCCCCTGTTCAGAAACTCTTGCGTACAAGGTCGCCCACGTGGATGTAGGTTGAGCGGCGGCTGCCCCCACCCCCGTGTGTCATATCGACCCACTTGCACACAGCCAAAAGACAAAGAGGCAAAGAAAAGAGGAAGGGAACAGCCAAATACAACAAAACAGGGGGAAGCAAACATAAAACAATCCTAGATGACAAGTCCCACATGCAAGCACCGCCCCTACCACCAGGGCCAAACAATGGGACAAGACCAACCAGGATTCAGGAACACCCTTGCCTGCAAACAAACAATCCCAGATAACATACCTTTCGTGCACGCCAGCTCCAAGAATCCTTTGCGGTTGATTTTATTGTTGTTGTTGCAAAAATTGGTACAGATTCAAACTGTCAAGCCACCGCTTCGCTGGTCTTAACTAAATTATTGAGACAGCACGAACAACAAAAAAACATAAAAGACAATCCTAGATGTCGATTCCCACAAAAAAGCACCGCCCCTGCACAGGCAAAAAAAAAACAGATCCAAGGCTGAATCCAGATGCAATCAGATGGACATAATAAAACACTTCTGAATTACATGCGGCCGGTCAGCTCTATGATTGATATCTGAATGCCGTCGCTCTTTTCTTTCTTTCTCTAGCCAGAAGTGCATTTTCAAACTGAAAAAAACAAACAAAAAAAGACCGTTTTCATGACTGCGCCCGAAGTTACACCCCCCCCCCCCCAAAAAAAAAAAAAAAAAAGGCCTATAACATAATACCACCATGGATGGTTACTTTCCAAAACTAAGGGGGGTCGAAATAGAAGCAATGGTTTGGTTACAATACAATCGAAGACATTGTTTGGTATACAGCCCCTCTGATCTATTGGTGGTGGGGGACCACACGGATGCTGAGAACCGGGTCTGATTTCAGGTATTGCACCATAAACAGTTGGCTAGCAAAGAGAATATCACAAGACGGTAGCCATTCTTTTGGACAGCGTCCTACACAGTTGGCTACCTTCTTCGCCCCAATACAACGTACGGTCATTATAGCTGTGTATCTAGACTGAAAGATGCCTCAAATAGAGCTATAATAATGATCGTACGTTGTATTCGGGCGAAGAAGGTAGCAAAGAGTACATTATTATGGCATTGCATTGCATTGCTTTCCAATTCCAAGAGGGTCCTCTACAGTGCTACTAATAGCGTATATGCCTTTCTTTCCACATTGTCAAGGTCCCTAGACTACGAGCCTTCCAGAGTCCAGACATATTTACTTAGCGACTAAGGGCCAGATCCCACTAGCCCCTATTTTTCATTTCTGACCGTTGATCTTCGTAATCGAGGGTGAGAAATAAATAATCCAGGGTAGTGGGATCTGACCCTTAGTCGCTAAGAAAACATGTCTGACCCTAACATACAAGAAAGGCAATGAGATTCAACGCCCGTTGGTCCGTCGAGCAGTCGCGCTTCGCAAGAACGTCTTCATTGTAGAACCAGTGAATCGCGTCAAAAACGTCATGATTAAAAATCGACAGAATCGTGCGCGCACATGAAGGCACTAGCCCACGAGGAGGATACTCCCCAACCGCAAATGGCCCTTCACGTCCGAGCATCCACGCAAACTCAGGGTCAGGCCTCGGTGAGGGGTGACCGGGTGTAGTTTTCATTACAGGGATCAGCCACGGTGGAAGAGGATGAGACGAAGACGGAGACATAAGCTTGGCAAGACGTCTATTGCACGAACGCACACGCATTGCCTTGTTTTCCAACTCTTGGTAATGAACAAAGTCGTTGACGACAACGTTTAACTCCTGCATGGCATTCTGCAACTCCTGGGCCCAAGCTGGGGCTGGGGCTGGGGCTGGGGCTGGGGCTGGGGCTGGGGTTTCCGAGGCATGCATGGACGCTTGGCTCCGGACCAAGACTTTCACGGTAGTGCTCAATTCCTTAACAGCCTTGTGCAGTTCCCCTACGACCTGGGCCCGTGTTGGGGTTGGGCTTGGGGATTAAGCCTTCGCCCCCGACAGATTTGGCTGCAACCTGAACAGCACGAACAAGTGCCCTCCCGCTGTCCTCATCTGCACTTTGGTTGCAGTCGTTGGGCTGTTCGGCACCATCATGTCGGGACATAATTCCTTTTGGTTATTTCAAAGCAGCGAAGTCCCGCAATCATACAGATAACCTTTCAAGGTTTACTGACGCGTACGACTTTCTGACGTCACCTGCATCACCATGGAAAAACAGAAAAACGAACAATAGCAAAAAAAAAAGACCAATAACAGAAAACGAATAAAAAAAGACCCCCCCAATGCATGAGTTATGTCAGCATTTCGTGCCGTCTTCTTCCCTTTTTTTTTTTTTTTTTTTTTTTTTGCCCGAACTTTGGTGCCCAGTTTCGTTGGAGTGCTTTTCTGAAAAACAAAACAAAACAGTTGGGTGTCATGGGTGGGCGAGATTTCCCACGGCAGTCATGCAGGGGTGGAGTGATATCCCGATCCCCATCGTTCCACTCTTAAAAACCGTGTCATGGCTGTGCAGTGGCTGAGGCACCGAGCTGTTAAGCTCGAGGTTCGCTGGTTCGATTCCGTGCAGGGTCGGACTTCATTTCAGGACACATACAGGAAAAMAAGAAAMAAAAAAAAAAAAAAAAAAAGAGCACACTCACAAAAAATGACCCGAAACTCTCCAAAAAAAAAGAGCACGCTGACAAAAATGACCCGAAACACACATGCGGCATGCCTGCCCCCCCTGGCACACTGGGCATAAATCTATGCACAAATATGCACACAATTACACACAAAGCTCTCCAAGTGTTAGCGTGTGTATGTATACATACATATAAGGCTCGCCAATCAAGCAACAAAGACGCGGAAAGGTTTTAAGGCCACAGTGTCACATAATATGCACAAACATAGTCGCAAGCACACCCGCTCAGCCACCCCATAAAATACTTTCCTCTGCAAACCTCCCCCGTGCCTCCTCTTCGACAAGACGCTGTTGTTTTTTGCATTATCTATACAATTGAAAACGCGTCTATCACTGTTATCAGACGTGAGCATACGAGCACCGTCCCTTACACGTACGTGGGCATCAGGTATTCCTCCCCGGGAGAGAGAGAGAGAGAGAGAGAGAGAGAGAGAGAGAGAGAGAGAGAGAGAGAGAGAGAATCTCACTGAAGGAGAAAACTGTGAAGGGATATCACAAAATGAATCAGGAACATCAATACGAAAAGATCAGGCAACTAAAAAAGCAAAAAGAAAAAAAGAAACGGAAAACGACAAAGAAGCCGGCATTGTGTGCAGAGAATGACGTCAATGGTAGACTCAGCAACACTGCTGTACGAGGGAAAACGACAAAGAAGTCGGCATTGTGTGCGGAGAAAGACATGAAAGGTAGTCTCAGCAACACTTTTTTTTTTTTTTTTTGTGCCATCTGTACCGAAATACAACGCAGCCTCATCATGACTGTATCTGACCAGAATGGTCGCTTGTGTTCAATATTCAACTTGATGATCTGGGTGCGTTTCTGCTCCAGAAAAGACGGCAATGGACCTACGTACAGCTGCAGAGGGCGCGGAGCCTCCTCTCAGCTTCCCTTCTCTTCCCTTCCCTATACTGTTATATATATACCTGCTCTAGTTATAGCGGTCCCACGGACAGACGCCGCCGCGGGCGCACGAGAAACCGCGGCAGGGGCCCGCTCTCGGGTAAAGCGGAGTTCCGCGGCGAGGCGAAATGACGCGGCCGGTAGGAAAAGAGGGGCAAACGCCATCCGTGGAGGGGAGTCCCGCGCTGGGGCGAAACGACGCGCCAGTAGGAAAAGAGGCGCAAGCGGAGGGGAGTCGCAAAAACCAAGCGCGTCCCGTCTACACGTAGCGCGGGCGAGAGAGAGAGAGAGAGATTTCCATCGATACGATGAGCAACGCACCGGCAAACAGGTAAGTCTCCAACCCCGCGGCTGGCCTCAAGGCATGCGCGAAATTGAATGAATCTTCCCCTAGAGCATGGAAGTATACACTACTACACTTGCGTGCGCCCGCGCGCGTGTGTGTGTGTGTGTGTGTGTGTGAGAGAGAGAGAGAGAGAGAGAGAGAGAGAGAGAGAGAGAGAGAGAGAGAGAGAGAGAGAGACAGGATGCCTCTAACCCCGCGGCTGGCCTAACAGGTAAGTCTCCAACGCCGCGGCTGGCCTCATGCTACTTGCATCGATACGATGAGCAAAATAGATGAATCTTCCGCTAGGACACGGAAATATAGGCCACTACACATATGTTTGTGTGTGTGTGTGTGTGTGTGTGTGTGTGTGTCTGTGTGTGTGTGTGTGTGTGTGTGTGAGAGAGAGAGAGAGAGAGAGAGAGAGAGAGAGAGA